GCTCTGATATCTCAGGGTTTGATGGGCAGGTCTCGGATCCCACGGAAGATCTTGGAGCTCATCTTTTTGCAGAAACTGGTTCTTCTCAGTGAAGAGAAACCTGGATCTACCTGAATGGAGGAGCAGCTGCTGTGTTCTGTCTTATAACAAGTTCTCCTTCATTCTGGTTACACAGTCCAGAGTTCGTCTCCTACTTGTGTCCTTCTCCACGGCAGGTTGGGTCTCCCTTGGGTCCTCCTGAGAAGGGGCTGAGCTGAGGGAGTCAGTGCCATGGTTTCCATGCAAACAACTACCCTGATGCAGCCAGTTTCCGATCCCCAAAAGAATTGCATTTCCTTCTCCCACTGTAGGGCTGTGTCCAGACTCAGGGGTTTTTTCGAAAAAAGTAGCCTTTTTTCGAAAAAACTTCACCTGCGTCCAGACTCAAGCCGCGTTCTTTCGAAATTAAATCGAAAGAACGCGGCTTTTCTTTCGATGGTGGTAAACCTCATTTCACGAGGAAGAACGCCTTCTTTCGAAAGTTCCTCTTTTGAAAGAAGGCGTTCTTCAATGTAAATAGGGCTTCTTCGAAAGAGAGCATCAAGACTCACTGGATGCTTTCTTTCGAAAAAGCAAGCCGCTTTTTCGAAAGTTCAATGTGCAGTCTAGACGCTCTCTTTCGAAAGAGGCTTGCAGTCTAGACATAGCCTAGGAGTTCACTGCTCTGCATAGCTGGCCTATAATGCTGCACCTTTGGAGTGCATGGCTCTGCCGAGACCTACTCTACTAAGTGATCTTTACTCATGTAAGCTGACCCATTCCCTTCAAAGGCACAACTCCAAGAATAACAATGACTAACACAATGCAGGCCTGCCTGGACTGTCCGCCAAACATCTGTGCTTTCACCAACATGCTGGAAATGGAATATACAGTTCATTTCATCTGCATTTGCAAGGGCAAGAGGAGGGGATGACAACCTCTACTCACCCTTCATCAAGGTGGGGGTGAGCGACGCTGAGCTGACTCATTAAAAACAAACCCCAAAAACTCCACACATTTTATTTGATCTGGAAGTGTCTTCTACATGCGTTTTCCCCTAAACAACATGAGGTAGAAATTGCCTCTACAACATTCTGAGCTAAGCAGATTTGGCATTTGCTGATGGAAAAAAATGCATTGGACAATTATTAGAGTTTAGAGTTCCTTCTTTTTCTTTGGTTGAAACATATTTATTTCCTTTCAGTAGGCCTTGGTCTCTGAGGGGTGGTCTTGCCTCTGCGCTACCATGTGGATGACTGGAGGGCCCAGATCCTCCTAATACGTATGTTAGATTCTGGCCACAGGCTTTGTTAAGAAGCTTTCACATTTGCCCAAACAGGAAGGGCTTGGTCTGAGGCCTGAGACCTAGCTAACAATGGACAAAACATGGCTAAAGACAAAAGATAAGCAGGAAACAGCCTTGTTTGTTTAACTAGTCATAAAACAAGCTGAGACAGCACCACCCCAGGTGAAGAACAGTATTTGGGGGCTTAATGTGAGTTATAGGCACATAACTCACTGAGAGGGATCTCAAAGTCTGTTCCCTGAGTTAGGAAGAGATAACAGTGCATCCTCCCCGAAAACCAGCCAGGGTTCATGTTGGCGTGAGTGACGATATCCCCCCTCACAAATGCCAATCCAAGTTCAGAGGGATACATTGATAAACTACGCAATTGCCATTGCTGTGAGCTCTTTACTATTCTCTTTGCTTTAAGACCATCTAGGAATGTGCCTGCGGGCAAACCCACCTGGGAGGTGCCACCCTTCATTTCTAAGGACCGGAAATCAGGATTTAACCTACTTACTGCAAGAGGAAAACTTGAGGAATAGCACCTGTTTACTAACAAACATGTCACTCTGAGCAATGGGCGGAGCATTCATATAATCTTTTTGGTTACGTCTAGACTGCAAGCCTCTTTCGAAAGAGGCTTTTTTGAAAGATACTTTCGAAAAAGCCTCTTTCAAAAAATAGCATCTAGACCAGTACTTTCGAAAGAACGCGGCAGCAGTCTAGACACAGGGGAAGTTTTTTTTTTTTTTCGAAAAAAGGCCACTTTAAAAAAAAAAGCCCGTGTAGTCTAGACACACCCTTACACTACTGGCTTATTGCGCTCATTATGTCTTGCTGCTAGAACCTATCCAGGGGCTCGGGAAATCCGACCCCATCACTTCTTTCTGCCCAACAGCGCCCGATAGAATGTAGGGTAATCAATTCTGTCAGTCTCATGAGCCTAAGAAGCAAAGTGGGACTCCACCAGTTGTGTGTAAGAAAGGCCTTGTGCTTGAACATGGAAGGTGTCAGACTTCTGTTCCCTCAATGACTTCAGAGAGGGAGAACGAGCTGTCCTCGTATTCAGGCCCTCGGGTGGGGGAGGAGCAGTAAAAGCCCTGCGTGTGCTCCAAGACCACGGTCAGGGCAGGGCAGTAGATGGCTAACGGCTCTGGTCTGCAGTCTATGAATCTGAAGCCCTCAAGCCTGGTGGCAGACAAGCAAAGACGTAGGCAGCTCTGTCCCTTGGGCCTTTGTTCTGGACACAATCAAGGGGCTCTTTGAAGGACGTGGCTCTAATTTCAAAATGGCTATAACACATGGCTTATATTTTTAATCCAAATATAACTCTTAATTAGCAATTGTTGTTTTTACTGAAATGCCAGTAACAAACACTAGGACTGTGTTTTCGGCCTTCCCTGGGATCAGCTGCCATCTAGTGACCATTGGAAAGGATTAATCAAACAATGGCCTTATTAACCTTGACTTCCCCCATGTGCAACCGTACAGCAGAGCCACCCTTTCCCAGCCTTCATCCTGTACTCTCCTGACCACCCCTTATACCATAAAGCTGCCCCTTTTCCCATCCTTCCCTCTCTGCTGCCCGCAATGTAATGTTCAGCCCCAAGCGTAGCTGGTTGCCACGGACACATCTTGCTTGTTCAGATGGCTTAGAAGTTGGTACTTTATGTGATGCGTTTTCAACCTGGAGTGCAGGCTGAGAGCCGCGGGAATGCCTGTAACATCTCACCACCCCTCTCCAGCAGTGCTGGCCTTTCTCACACTGCTCTGCTGATGAGACACAGCCAGATTTTCCAGGTCCTGTTAGCACCCAACATGACAGCTGACGGCATCACCCACCCAGCTGAGCTACCTGAGTGCTTTACCTAAGCCACTCCAGGAAAGATAGATGTCAAACCCAATTTCCCAGCTCCCCAGTCGGGAGTATACCCCCAGAGTTATGCCATTTCATGCTTCACAGGGATGTGTACAATGTATGCTCACTAATATTGTTTGCCTCTCCCTCAAAGTGAGGAAGATCTGCATGACTAGCTTGTGCTATCCAAGCTGGGATTTTCCCAATGCTTCACTCAAAACACACTGTTTAAGACAAAGCGGCTGTGTCTACACTGGCATGAATTTCCGGAAATGCTTAAAATGGAACAGTTTTCCGTTATAAGTATTTCCGGAAAAAGAGCGTCTACACTGGCAGGCTGCTTTTCCAGAAATTCAAGGGGCCAGTGTAGACAGCACAGTAGTCTTTTCCGGAAAAAAGCCCCGATTTTCGAAAGACCCTCTTTCGAAAGAGGGTCTTTCGAAAATCGGGGCTTTTTTCCGGAAAAGACTACTGTGCTGTCTACACTGGCCCCTTGAATTTCTGGAAAAGCAGTGACGATTTACTGTAAGAAATCAGCTGCTTTTCCAGAAAAACTATGCTGTTCCCGCTCGGGCAAAAGTCCTTTTTCCGGAAAACTGTTCCGGAAAAGGGCCAGTGTAGACAGCTCGCAGCTTATTCTGGAAAAGAGGCTGCTTTTCCGAAATAAGTGACCCAGTGTAGACACAGCCAGCATGTTTAGTAACTACAGAAAAACAGAGAAAAAGTGATGCTAAGGAGCAGCAAACAGGTCAAAGCAAATTATCTACCCAATAAATAAAAATGAAAACTAAGCCTGATGTAGTAGGTGGATAGGATCTAAATCAGCAGTTTTTCATCCTGATCCATGATATAATCAGTCATAAGAATATAAGAACATTAGATTGGCCATACTGGGTCAAACGAAAGGTCCATCCAGACCCGTACCCTGCCTGCCGACAGTGGCCAATACCAGGTGTCCCAGAGGGAGTGAATCCAACAGGTAATGATCAAGAAATCTCTCTTCTTCCATCCATCTCCACCCTCTGACAAACAGAGGCCTGCGACAACATTCCTTACCCATACTGGCTAATAGCCATTTATGGACTTAACTTAAAGGGGATTGGATTCAATGACCTCTCGAAGTTCCTTCCAGTTCTAGGATTCTATGTTTTATGGGAAAGGTCACCTCTTCCACAGTCCAGGAACCAGCTGATAGTTCTTTTCTCTTTCCAAATTCAGTCCTTTCGCGCTGAGTAGCGAGTTTTAGAAGGCTCATTACCAAATTCCCCTTGGATTCCCATGGGATAAGTAGGGCATCCAATTTACATAGCAACAAATTCCTCAAGCTTCAAGGAGCAGAGATGTTAACCTCTAGAGCAGGTCTCTCAGCCACTGGAGCCTCTGTACCATTTTCCTCATGCAGCATTTCAGGGCCCAGGATCGAGGTGTGACACTCTGTTTTCCCTCCCCACCACTGTCATGTTCTTTCACGTTCCCTGTAAATAAAACGTTGTATTCTAGGACAGCTGCCAAGGCTTCATCGCCATGTTGGTAACACACCCTGAGCATTGTGCTCTATGTGAATCTAGGAACGTATTTTGTGATTCGTTATATGGGAAGGGGCATTATTCTGGAAGTCCCCTGCTGCCACTGTGGAAAACATGATGGGTCTTAAAAACTGGGAGACACCTGCCATGGCTGTGACCCTATAAGGGCATGACAAGAAACCGAATTAATCTAATGAAAACAGATTCTTGGACTTTGTTGCACTTTGGCTTATACCCTATCCTAGCTAATGTTATATCTTTTTTCTTTTTTCCATTTTCTTTTTCTTTTTGTATCAATTTTAGTTTGGAATCATCCAAAAATGAATTTCTTCCTAACCTTCCTCAGGGCTTCCTTCACCTCTTTGTTTCTCAGGCTGTAGAGGAGGGGATTGACCAGAGGAGTCAGGACCGTGTAGACGACAGAGAGCACTTTGTTGAAGTCCCCCAGAAGGTCAGTTGTTGGGAACATATAGGAAATGAGCAGAGTTCCATAGTAAATGGTCACCACGGTGAGGTGGGAGGAGCAGGTAGAAAAGGCCTTTTGCCGCCCGCTGGTGGAAGGGATCCTCAGGATGGTGGCGATGATGCAGATATAGGACGTCAGGGTGAGCAGGAAGGGGACCAGCAAGAAAATCAAGGTGAGGGTGAAAGCCAGCATTTCCATCATCTGAGGGTCATCGCAGGAGAGACGTATCAAGGGGACAGGGTCACAAAAGAAATGGTCGATACCATTTGGGCCGCAGAAAGTTAACTGGGATACTGCCAATGTTGTTATGCCATTACCTAGGAAGCCCCATAGCCACGAGCTACCTGCAAGCTGTAAGCAGGCCTTTACACCCATATGGGCTGTGTAACGCAGTGGGTTGCATATTGCAACATACCGGTCATAAGACATCACCAATAAGAGAAAGCATTCGGTGCCCACCAGAGAACCAAAGAAATACAACTGTATGAGGCAACCACTGACGGAAATGATCTGGTCTCCAGTCAAGAGAACAGCCAGCATCTCAGGCAGGAGGGTAGAGCTGTAGCAGGTCTCCATGCAGGACAAGTTCCCCAGGAAGAAGTACATGGGGGTGTGAAGGTGCCGATCAGCCACCACCAGCACCACGATGAGGAGGTTCCCGGCCACTGTTACAACGTAGATGACTAGAAACAGCAGGAAGAGAAAAATCTGCAGTTCAGGCAGCATCCCAAATCCCCGGAGGTTGAATTCTGTGATGGACGTTTTGTTTCCATTTTCTGGGTTCCTCATGGCGTGTGTCTATGGGAAAGGAATTGATTCTCAGATATAGGGTAGGTCTACACTCTGGGCTTATTGCGCAAGAGCGTAGCGCAAATTGTGTAACTTATTTTGAGTGCAGTATTGAAGCAGCCTTAGAGAGATAAGATGCATGAGGGAATATCTTTTACTTGACCAATTTACCAATGCTTATGAATAGCTCACGAAGACCTGATTCTGCAGAGATAATTTTACAGACCAGGAATAATATTCTTTTCTGCCAGACTCCCATCGCGTCCGTTAGACATACAATTTCCATTGACGTGAAGAATGGGCCATGTTGATTTTGTGGGGTTGGGATCAGCTCCTTCCAGGAGCCTTCCTTGGAATTTCCAACAGTGGTTGGCAAGAGTTGATTTCAGAGGATCCGTGTTGGTGCATGTCAATGGGGGCCAACATGTTGAAATGAACAAAGAATCATTCGCAGATTGGACAGCCTCCCGTCCCACTTGTGTCTGTGGGGATGGGGTCACCGGCCCCACAGCTCAACGGGGAGTCCTCTGCACCCAGATATCACAGGCTTAGGCAAGCGGGACCCTGACAGCTCCCTACATGGCTGTGGGGCTGGAGACATTCCTACAGGTAGAAGTTGCCATAAATCATGCCAGTGTAGACGTAGCCGGGATGTTAATAATTGAAATAGCTAAAAATTGGGCAAACCTGAATAATAGTTAGCAAAATTGGAGGAAGGGAATCCCAGCTTGTTCCATAGTCAATGCCAGTGTTTGCTCTTCTAGCTCTCAGCATGCCAGCTTTGCTTCTCCCCATTGCATCTCATTAACCTCTTCCTGTCCAGCAGAAAAGGCACTGAGGGAAGATGAAAGAGGAAGCCAGCCTGTTCCACTGGTTGTTCCACTTGCTTGTGACTTTGGAGATGTTGATTCAAATACTGCCTTTGTCACCAGCTCTTTGTATGACTGGAAAGACTTAAAAAGCAGCTAATAATCTTGCGGGCACTTTAGACACTAACCAAACATACATATGGGATCATGACCTTCTGTGCACACAGCCCACTTCTTCAGATGACTGGAGTTGTTAAAGTTCCAATTCCAAAACAATCAGTGCTTTGGAACAATTTGCACCATCTCTATCCACTCTAAATCACTTCCTCCCTTCCCTTAGTTATTGGATTCGGACTTTTAACACTCCAGTCATCTGAAGAAGTGGGTTGCATCCACGAAACCTCATGATACCAGCTCTACGCCTTGTTAGTCTTTACGGTGCTGCTAGACTATTTGTTTTTCCAGTTACAGATTAACTCGTCTCCCCCTCTGAATCTCTGTGTGACATTCCGGCCGGATGATCCAAGTGTATGACTCCTGTGCATTGGTAGGGGCAGTCCCGGATATCAAACCTCTGTGACTCGGTGCCCAAAACACCTCTAGAAACCCGTCCCACTGTGTGATGGGGTCCGTCTGTGAAGCAGAGTAAACAACAGCTCCCAGCGAGTGGGATAATGCACATTATGAGGACTGCTAACGAATCAGGTCTGGCGGTGATAGGAGGACAGTTTAGGAGCTAGGGTAGAAGTGACCAGAAAGGTCATTTCCTTTTCCCCCAATTCCGGCATTTTGCATTGAGTGGATTCCAAGGGCAGGATTTATTTGACCAACTTACATCGCTTCAAAAACCACGCGCTTCCAGGAACCAGGGGAGGGAAGGTTGATTTACCTCTGTAGTGGATCTGTCAGAAGCTGGAGTCTCTGATGTCTTCTCCTCACCGAGGATTTGAAGGACCAGGAGATGCGATAATCAGTCCAGCTCCTCACCACCTGCCTCTTTGTTCCCAGCACACAGCATGTCCTCAGGCAGAACAGCGATTGCGTCTCCATCACCCTGTCTGGTTACATCCCTCAGGCACTGATAAATGGGAGAGTCTTTTCTAGATCATTATATCTCCTTCCAAGGGAAGGGGCAGTCTCTTGAGGCTCGTCTGCCTGGAGAACCTAATGAGCAAGGAAACATTAGTGTCAGATTCATTCTTAGACAACACCAGCAGTGTCAAACTTCTAGTACCCAAGGGAAAGTCAGAGCGAGAGAAAAAAGCATTTCATCCTCCAGAAAATCTCTTTTCATTGGGTGAACCCTACTGGCATTGTGAAGGAATCACTCATTCTAGGAGTAAATTTACGGCTGAAATTTTCAGGGCTGCCCAAGTGATTTAGACACTAGGATCTCTTTCAGCTCCCTTAGGCGACTTTGAAAGTCACACCATAGTTAAAGCTGGGGTTAAGCACATATGGGCTAAGCTGTGGCTTAGAGCTCCGACCTGTTGAATGCAATTACGGGCAAAATATTCCCCAAATAGTCCCCAAAATATTCCTGCTTAGCACCCTTGGGGTACGTCTACGCTGCAACACGATTTCAAATTAACTAGCGCTATTCCGAAATAACTCAGTCCACACAGCAGGCAGTTATTTCGAAACAGTGTCAAAATACTATCAAGCTGGAGGACTTCTTACTCCGATTGCTGTAACCCTCCTTGTACGAGGAACAAGGGAAATTGGAGGAAGAGTGCTCTACTTCGAAATAAGTGATGTGTAGAGGCTCCCTATTTCAAAATAAACTATTTAGAAATAAGCTATGAAATGGACGCAGCTCTATTTGCGTTGCTTATGTCCAGTTAAGCCCTGCCGTGTAGCTGCAGCCTTGGTGGACTAGGACCAACTCTACTACTTTTTCTAAACAAACTTCCTGTGGCTCTGTCTAGCAAGCACACATGCTGGCCAGACCCCCTACTCCCTAATCCGCTCTGGTAACCTTTTACTGATTGAGATACCTTAGCCTCATTTTCCAATGTGTCTTCATTACTGAGGCTTCGCAGCCTGGGTCTGGCTGCAAGTCTAAAGCACTTTGGCTCCGACGCCATTTCGATGGTTGCCTATGCGCACGCATGTGGTAGGTCCAGAGTTTTCCAGTGAAGGGCCGGCATCAGAGAGTCCAGTGCAGCCAGCAGGGCATCAGGACCTGCCCGGGGCATTGCTCAGTGCATGGCACCATCTGAAAACCCCAGGAGTGGGTGGCAGCCAGCCCACCCACTTCTAAAAGCCCTTCCCCCCGCCTTGCGGGAGGGACGACTGGAACTAGGAACCAACTGCTTCCGGGGGAGAAATAATGAAAAACATGGCCAGGGGGTGTGGGTCAGAAGTTTAAAATGAGGGAGCCAGATGGGGACACCGAGCAGAGCACCCCGGACAGCGCCTACTGCTCCTGGAAGCTGTTGATGGAGCCAGTGGAGGAACTCCCGGAGGAACTCTGCCCGGATGTGTGAGACCAGGGAGGAAGGGAAGTAGGCCCCACAGTCACAGAGCACCCCTTGTCCAGCATCCTCCTCCTGGTGTTGTAGACGGAGTCTTTCACCAGAGCCAGGAGGAGGTGGACGAGGAGGTCTCATGACTTTGTGGGACCACGGATGGGGTGTGCATAAATAAAAAGGTGTGGGGAAAAGTGCAGCCGGAACCTCAATAGGAGCTTCTGGAGGAGCTGGAAAAGGGACTGTAACCTGGTGCATTCCAGATACACATGCGCTAGGTTCTCCCTCACACCGCAGAAGGGGCAGGTGTCCAGGATGGGGGTGAACCGCACCAGGTACACGCCTGTGCTCATGGCTCCAAGCTGATCGTTGGCACAGCACAGCGGCCATGTTTATTTTAATGAAGCTGGGATTATTTAAATCCCTGCTTCTTTGCCTATGCCGGGTAGCCTAATCTACATGTCTCTGTTGCCAGAGGCATGTAGTCTAGACATACCCAGAGAGTCCCGCCACTTGGCATCGGGGAGGGACACGAAGGTGAGGAAATGCAGAGTGCGGAGCGTGAACATGTACAGGTGTTCCCTAGGCACTGTTCAGAAAAAGACCAGCTGCAGTTCCTGCAGCCAGCTGGGAGTCCAGGAATGGAGTAGGTTGGGGTGGAGGGCACGGAACAAGGACCCAAGAAAAAGGACAAGAGGGCTTGCATGGGGAGGGGGCAACCCTTCTCGCAGGGGTCACAGCAGGAAACAAAGAGTGGGATGCGGCCGGTTTTGCTGGTCTGGGATTCCCAAACTGTGGAGGAGCGCAGGATGGAACGCACATTCCCATCCGTGTACTGCCCCATCGAGCAGCCCGGTAGATCAACAGAAAGGGGTACTTCTCCATGGTGCTGCAGGCCCTGGTTGACCACCTTAGACTATTCACGGACATTTGGGTGGGATGGTCGGGCCGGGCACATGATGCTCGGATCTTCCGCAATTCGCACCTTTACGAAAGGCTGCAGGTTGGAACCTCCTTCCCCAGCGAAATTTTGCTGTGGGGGACGTAGAGATGCTGGTCCGCATTGTGGCCGATTCAGCGAACTCCCTCATGCCCTGGCTCATGGAGCCGTACACTGGGCATCTGAACCCAATCAGGGAACTCTTTAACGCACACCTGACACAGGCGTGTTTGCAGGTGGAATGCGCGTTTGGCCGGCGGAAGGGAAGGTTTTGGTGCTCGCTCACTCGCCTCGACATGGAGGAGCGCAAAATCCCAGACATGGTGGCTGCATATTGCATCCTCCACAACCTGGTGGAGAGCAAAGGGGAGGCCTTCCTCCGAGGCTGGGGGGCAATGGCTGAAGTGGAGGGGAGGCAGTTCACACAGCCTGGGACAGCTGCCATTTGCCAAGCCCATCAGGTGGGAGTCCGCATCCGGGAGGTTCTGCATGAGACATTCTCAGCAGGAGCCCAATGACTTTCCTAGGGTGTCTGCAATGGGGCCTGTAGGCGTGGGCCCCCGGCCCAAAACCTTTCCTCCCACAACCCATCCCTGCACCAGCCTTTGGACAGTGAAGATACGCACAGCACATTAAATCTCAAAAATATATTTAACGTTCAACGGTCAAATAAATAACTGTAAAAAAATAGAACTGTGCAACATGTACTCAATAATAAACTTGTCTTTAAATGCTCCAACTGTTTTTAAAACTGGGGGAGGAGGAGGGATGTCAGCCCAG